GCGCCGACATTTTCCTGCAAAAGTTCCACGTGTCCCAAGACATGCAATCTATGGACGAACCAAGGCCGCCCCAAAAGCCCTTTCCAGCCAGCCGGTGGGACAATAAGTCACATATATAGGAGAGGGAAACTCTGATTTTAAACCTGGGCAGATAGAGCTCATTAGTACTGACACTGCAGTCGTTTAATAGGGGAAGGAAACCTTAACAGAAAAACCCTGGCCCTCCAGATTGGAAAAAAATACATTATTACTGAAACCACAAACAGAGCTAATTCGATTCTTGAGAGCAATGTGTCTATTACTCTCCTTAACGGAGGTATTATGACGCATGAGAGGAGATCCTTGAGCCAAATAGGTCACTGACTCGTGCATCCACGAAACGCCGCGACGATTGGAAATTGGAACGTAAGGACACTGTACAGAAGTGGGAACATCGCACGGACCGGGAGAGAAATGACTAGTGGAGGTTTTGAAATCATAGGAATTAGTAAAACACACTTGATGGAACAGGGAAGAGTGCAACTTGTGAGGGAGAAACCATGTATTCTGGAAGAGACGACAACAACCACGGGGAAGGAGTTGGCATCCTGATGTCACAAGCTGCAACAAGGGCCTTGATGGACTGGACTCCAGTAAGTGAACGGATTATTAACGCGAAGTACTTCTCCAAACATAAAAACCTGACCGTTGTTTACACCTATGTACCTACAGAAGATGCAGAGTGCAGGATGAGTTCTACATGAAACTACAGGTGTTGCTGGATAGTAGAGACATCTATGATGTGCTTCTTGTCACCGGAGACATGAACGCCAAAGTAGTACACGACAACCGAAATTATATAAATAATAGCCTCCATTTGGCGCGAAGATATGCTCGGATATTTGTCCGCGGACATTATCTGTTCCGAGAAGCGAACAACTTTCCGAGAGCGTAGTTCAAGGAAAACTGTGAGCGATGGATTATAAGAAAAGATAATGGACAAGCACAGACTAGGACTGCAGAGCGATAATGGGGATAGTCGACTGTACAGATTATGTGACATGAACGAGTTGGTCACTGACCGGAACACTGTTTCTTGACAAGAACGTGGCTCCATGTGTTCCCGGAGTAGGGAGGGATAGGGGGTTTCAGTCGACAGGTGCATAACATTGCTTTATATTTAGGTTTCATTCATACTACTGTCTCACCTTTATTTCTTTCCCTGCGGTAATATGCCTGATAGTAATTGTAAGGTTCATGAATTCCGTAGGATTTTGAAACGTACTGGTCCTCTCTCCCTCCGTCTCCAAAAGACTGACTGGCAGTTGATTGGCCGTTGCGAATCGTATGGAATTCAAACTCCCTGTCCACATTATCAGAAGCCATCTTGCCCTGGGGGTACGGTTGACACATGTACTGTAAGATAACTTGTGTTTCCACCATGTCATCTGTCTTTGGGCCGGTCCCGTGTTGATTCGTCCACATGATTTCTATTTCAGTTTTGTGCTTTTCCTCATCACATCCGCTCATGTAGAACTCCTAACAAATAGAAAATCAGTCAGTCAACCCGGACCCTGATACTCTCCAAACGTTTTGGTAGTTGTTTGAGGCGTGTTCCTTGAAGCCCTTGCCCTTTTTCAGACCAAAGTATGTGATTTTCTACACCCTATTCAGGGGCGGATCCAGGATTTTTCAAGGGGGCTGGCTGGTACCTTGGAATTGCAGAATCAATGGGACATCTCCCACAAATGTTGCATTTTGAGAATTGAGACCTAATAATTGAAAACTGTTACACCATAAATGCTAGCAATGCCACAAAGTAGAAATTAAATTACAATGAGGTTCCTGTCCAGAGTATTTGCCTTTATTTCTGCCATAACATTGACAATCTTTTTCATTTTTTTTTGTTTGTTTGTTTTTTTGTTAATCCAAAAGGGGGTAGCTGCTATTTCGAACCTGACCTAAAAATCGATACCCTGTTAACAGTACACTTCTCTATTTGCGTTAACATTTAAGAAGGGCCTCAAAGTTCCCGATATCTAATATCACGTAACAGAACTTATTTTATCTAAACAACATACCGAAATTAAGGACATACTGCACGAACCATGCCCTATATCAGACCAAAATGGTTAAAATCTATACCCAATTTTGGCCGAAACGGCTTCAAAATCATACCTTCTGGTGCCGCTTATACCTACGTAGCTTGCACAAGGGAGTAACCTCCCCCGGATCGAACTACCGATAAATCAATTAATTGACATTAAATAACCAATCAATGACCCGCAAACCAGTCAACGGACTGA